TAGCTATGAATTCCTGAAAAATTTTACGAACAACAATTATTATGATTAAAAATGAAATTTCAAGTGAGAATGAAATTAATTTATGTAAAATCCAAGTAGTCAAAATTTAACTAGATTATTTGAAACCGTGCTTTTAATTCACTATGAAAACAGTATTTGTGATAGCGCACACAAATGTTTTCTTAATCATAATAGAATATGGTACTTTTATCTTTCTCGTTGAAATAAAAGTTCAGCTTTAATTCTCCATATTAAATTCATTATTAATTAAATGAACTTATTAATTAAATGAAATTCATTATTAATTAAATGAACTTTCAGCAATAGGTACACTGCTGGGGAAAAAAAAAAAAAAAAAAATAGATCTCTATCGCAAAATTTTCTGCAGTGTTAAATTATTGAAATTAATATTATTAAAATTAATATTACATAAATTATTCTCTGTATATGATGAAAATTTACATACCTTTTATACTCCTTATAGTTTTGTAGAATTAAAAGAAGCAGTGTGGCTAGTATTCCTTTTCACCTCCCTTTGTCGGACTTATATGAGGGCACTTCCATTTGTGGCATAAATATAATAACAAAGTTACACATATATGTATATGTTTATAATTACATTATTTTGATTGACTCTCTTAATTCACCCGGAGCTCAAAATGAAATGTGTTCCTCTACTTAAATTCATTGTTCAGTTATTTGTTATTAATTTATTTTTTATTTTATCTTTATTCATGAATCTATTTTGTGCAGCTGAAGAAAAAAGGGGGAAAATATTCATTCTAATGTGGGTTTTTGTCAGTGTGGGCTTTTATCAACGTGGGCTTATACCTATATGGGCTTTTATCAATGTGCGCTTTCATCGGTGTGGGTATTAGTCGCGTGGGCAATTATCCCAGTGGGGTCTTTTTTGTGGGCTTTTGTCTGGTCACGGAACAATGCTATATATAAATCTAATATATATCCTAAGTCATGCTTTCCAGACATGGAAAGCGAAATTTGGATTTCGTCAATCAGCCCAGTAGGACGGGAGATAGAGATCTATTTTTTTTTTTTTTTTTTCCCCAGCAGTGTACCTATTGCTGAAAGTTCATTTAATTTTATGAGTGATATAATAACAGAATGTAGAACAGCCTTGACCATTGATGGCCTAGATGTTGGGCGGACCATGAAACATCGTTTATTCTCATGACACAAAAATACACTCATGTCCATAAATTAAGGATAATGCAAAATCAGGCTAAGGAAGAGTTAGAAGCAAAAAAAATTTGACTTATTTGCAAAGCTTATTTATTAAACAAAAGGTAAAGAAAAAAAAGATGCTATATGTTTGATATTATTAAAAAAAATTAGCGATTTTTTTCTCCCTGGTGCAAATTACAAAAAACACCTATTTACAAAAAACCAATATTACAAGGTTGGTATGATTGTTAATACATTGTATGTCTCCCAGACAATGCAAAACAGTCCGTACAACGCCTAGGCATGCTGAGTATCAAATTATCGATCTGATCTTGAGGGATATTACACCACTCAAAAAGCAATGCTCTACGAAGTTCTGGTAGACATGTAGGAGGAGGTTGACGGGCTGCAACTCGTCGGCCAAGCATGTCCCACACGTGCTCTACTGAATTCAAGTCCGGTGAGAATGCTGGCCAGTCCATACAGGTGATATCCTCCGATTGAAGGCATTCGCTTACGATTGTTTGCACGGTGAGGACGGGCGTTGTCATCCATAAACACAAATTGTGCGCCCATGGCGCCCGAAACAAACGTACATGTTGTTCCAGAATGACATCCCGATAGATTTGGCTTGCCATGGTTCCAATTTGAACGTGCAGGTCAGTTCTGGAACCCAGAATAATTTCACCCCAAACGAGCACTCCTGCACCACCGTAACGGTGTCATTCAATGATGTTTTCTTTGTGGTAACGGGTACCTGGAGCTCTCCATATGAAAGTCCGGCGAGAATCAGACTGCAAGCTAAACCTGGACTCGTCAGAAAACATCACACAAGCCCACTGTTGCGGTGTCCACAATGCATGCTCTCTACTCCAGGCTAACCACAGGCGACAGTGAGTTGCAGTAAGTGGAACGCATCTGACAGGTCTACGAGCATATAGACCAATCTGCCCTAAGCGTCTGTACACGATCTGCCTTTAAATTGTCGTACCAGTGGCTGAAGAGAGCTGACGAGACATGTCTGAGGCTGTGCTCCGCCTGTTTCATTTGGCAGTAACTGCCAAATACCGGTCATCATTTGGCGTTGTAACTCTGGGGCGACCTGTGCTGTAACGTCTACTCACATTCCATCATCTTGGAATCGTTGCCAAAGCCTGGAGATGACACTCTGGGCAATTCCAAGTTCATCTGATACTTCCAGTTGGGTACGCCCACATTCCAGACGGCCGATAATTCTATCACGTAAAAATCATCCAAATGCGTCCTTTGTGTCATAACTATTTGGTTATTGCACTGAAATGCTTATAAAGCGCCTGCGAACAATTTACTTCTTTGCCTGTATTCCTTATATATCACTCTCGTCATTGTGACGTACCATCGGTGTCATCTGGTTACTTCCTGAAATTTGCATATGATTCTTGAAGATGTATGTAGTGATTTTACAGGTGATATATTTATTTTAGAGTTCGATTTCCACGTGACTCTGAATTATCCTTAATTTATGGACATGAGTGTGCATGGAAAGCTTTCTCGGTCATAATTAGTGATTAACTAGGTAACTTTACAAATCAGTAAACTATTCTCTTCTTTGTACCAAATTCTCATCTCCAGTGCATGTTAATATGCAAACTTGAAGTTCTAATTTAATATCTGATGACAAACGAAAAGCCAAATTATCACAGAACTTTCAGTTGTTAGCAAAGAAAAATATTAATGGAACAGTTTCAAGAAATTAACCATCCCCCATCAAAAAGAAAGCAAACTAAACACAGCAGTCATTTTTTTAAATATTGAGAAACCAAAAAGGTAGGCAAATGTGTGAAATAATTTTGTGAAACAAATTAATTTTTAAGAAATTTATAAAGTATAATATTGCTTCATTAATGAAATTGTATAATAATATTGTATCAAGATAATTATTTGAAATTATGTCAGATTTTTACTTTATGGTTTGTTAAATGGGGGTTACTGAAACTATAATCAACTAGAAACTATAATCAACAATAAACAATAATTCACTCAGGGAAAATATTATTTTACAAATAATGTAGACCTAAAATTATAAATATTAAATCAGCTTTAAAAATCAGATGAGGTGAAATTCAGAAAATAAATTCTTGCTACCAGTAACTATAATTCCATTTCAACACTGGATAAAATTTTGAAAATATAATTTATTTTCAGTAAAACCATTTAAAGTTAGTACATGTATGCATCCAACAAAGTACTGTATGCCAGAGTTATCTGTTTCTAGAATAGGATCCTTTTATAAAAAAAAACTCTGTATGAGGTGTATTTGGAAAATATGTAGTTTAATCATGCAGATTGTACTTTTTTCCATAATGCAGCGATTTATTTATCTTGGCAGGCTGTATCATTCTGTAAAATTTATATTATGGACCTTTTGGCCCTGCTGATGCCATTTGCCACATTCAAATGTAGAGATATATTTCATCAATAATAGAGACTATTTTACTATTTACCATCAGAAGTCTCATCTGGGGGCTTGTTCACATGTGTTTTCTCACTCGTGTTGTGGATATTTGCTTTTCCATGTTATTTGTGGAATAATTTCATAACAGGAACTTGTTAATACATTACAAGGGATTTTTTTTCTAACACCCATAAATAATATTTTGTAAACTATTTTTTTCTACCTCTAAAAAATTCAGGATTGGAAAGAGTTAAAAGAATAGATCAAATAATGAAACAAATGAAGGTACTCCTGTTACCGGGACCACATTCAGAAATGTACGCATGCATGTATGTATGCAGGTATATATGGATGTATGTGTTCATGCATACAAATTTTTATGCATGAGTGTGTAGAAATTGGTCCTAATAACAGAAGAGTACCCAAATGAAACACATTATCAAATCTGATGTTTATGAAAACAGTGCAATTTGTGATAACATATGAAATTGGATTTTTAGTAAAAGAGGATTGTTAAATTGCAAAGTAGTTTGAAATATCATTTAATACATAAAATCAAAGACATTATTGAGGTGGGAATTTTATAATTTGTTTACAATTCACACTCTGTTAGAAATCATTTGGGTTAGTGAAATGAAATTGTGAATGTATTGGGTGTAGCAGCACAAGAAACTAGATCCATGTGCATATACTAGTGATGGAGAAATTGAAACGAGATACTGAAGAAGTTTAACCCAAGCACCAATTTGACGTTAACAATATTTAAAATTAAATAGACAAATAAAAAAGACAGAAGTCCTTTTTATAGAAACTATCTAAGAGTATGTGGTTTCCTGATATTTATGGTTGTGTGAATAAGTAGGCATGCAGATTCTGCAATTTTTAAAATCAAAACTATGTTTTCTAAACTGGCATGATATAAATGAAACTTTAAGAACTATTTACTAATTCAGGAAAATGAGTCTGAGATAAGCATTATCATTATCCATTAGAGCATTTGGAGAATTAATAAAGCAACTAAAAATAATCCAAAGTTTGAGCAGTTTCTTTCTAATTCATGTTATGAATCATATAAGCAATTCATTCAGAGTTAAAATTTTTTAATAACTTCTAAATTAAGAAAAGGTGTTTAATCTATTACTATTTTTAAAAAAGCTTCTTTTCATTTTAATGGTAAAACAGACTTCTGAGAATAAAGCAAAATTGGGGAAGGGAAAAAACTAGAATTATTTGAAAAGGAAAAATACATTTTTTTTAATACACAGCTTTATGACTAATTTAAGAGTAACACCATTTTAAAAGTATGATTATGTATGACACAAACTCAATCTTTATTTTAGTATTAAAAAATTATCTTTCAATGTTTATTGGAGTATATTTATCATCATATGTTTATTAGAGCCTAAAAAAATCATACAAATTTAGGTCATCATCATTAATAAATCACCAAAATATAACATTCAGAATAAAAAATTAAATATCAAGAGCTTACTTTAATAGATAGCAATATGATCTTATATTCAAAACATACTTAATAAAAATACATGAAATAGTTAGATAGCCCAATTTATACAAGTATTAAGATTGGGAGAATCTTGAAATTGAAGGAACTTCACTGCACTGTTCAATTCGAAAACAAATATTTCATTTAATCCTATTTTAAGGAGCTGGTGAGGTATAAAGAGAGTTTGCTGAGGTCCAATGTTCCAATATCGGCCAATGTTGAATCCATTAACTATTACTACGCCTTTAGACCATGATGAAGAATACAAAAAAGTGTCTTTTACATCATTTAAATTGAAAGAGGCTGCATAAAGACCTATGCATTCTTTATTATTACTCGACTGATCCACTTCCTCCCAGTTTATTAGATTTGCTCTATTCACTAGACTTTCATTTATATCTAAAGGAAGTATTTGCCAATTTTTCAGTAGTTTTCCGCTTAAAGTTACATTTCCATACAAACCTCTTCTTTCATTATTAAGTATTTCTTTCTTCTCTGAAAAATTTACTCTACCTAAATTTTCAACCAAGATATCAAGTATACTCTGTTTTAATTTTTCATTATGTGCTATTTGAAGCTTTTGGACTCCATGAGAATTTTCTATGTTTGCAACATGAATGCTATTCACTAATACAATAGATCGTGTTCCATGAGTAACACGAAATTCCAGAATTCCACTTTCTCTAAATTCAGTCTGATAAAGTGTAAATCCAAATCTCTGGCCATATTCATGAGGACCAATCATTTCCATACAGACTGGAATTTCACACTGGATTTTATCGTGTATAATATGTACGATTTTTTTAAGGGGCAAATACCTCTTAATAGGTATTTTTTTCACAGTTAGAAACTTGACATCTGTGGTCATAATTTCTCTTGGCCGATGGTACTGCTTTTTCACAGATTTTAAAATCCAGCAAACAGCCCTGTACTTTTCAGTACACCTACCATCTTCTGTAAGTAGAGCATCATAATCGTAGCTAGTTACAGTGCTGCAATAAGGACTTTCTGAATCAGGAAATCCTATATTAGCCCCATTACAGAACCCGAAGTTTGTACCTCCTTGAAAAAGGTATATATTAAATGACGCGTTTTTCTTTAAAATAGTGTTCAGCGATTCTGTTAAGATAACAGTCGGCACGTCATGATGGATTTCACCCCAATGATCGAACCAACCTGACCATAATTCAGCAACCATCAGCGGCTGATTTGGTTGTTGCTCTTTAAGTAATATTAACTCGTTTTCTGCATCGGTTTGAAAATTTGCTGTCATCAGAACATCTTTTATGGATCCATGAGTTAAAGCTATAGACGGCATGTCACATGTGAAAAGTAATTCTCGAATTCCGAGTTCGCGCAAAGTGTCTCGAAGGAATATCATGTAGTCAGAGTCGTCTCTATTCTTTAGCGTATTTCCGTACGATCCGAACTCATTTTCCACTTGCAATGCTATAATAGGTCCTCCGTTTACAGTAAACTGGTACTCATATATATAAGTTAATAATTTTTTAAAGTAACTTTTAACTGCAGCCAAAAATGCCGGATAATTAGAACGCACCTTCATATTTTTATCTTTCAGTAACCAGCTGGGCAAACCACCAAAATCTAATTCCGCGCAGATATATGGTCCGGGCCGTAAAATGAGGAACATATCTTGTTTTCGAACAGTTTCAATAAACGATTTTAAACCCAATAAACCAGTAAAATTGAAATTGCCAGGCTTATCTTCGTGTAAATTCCATGGTACATACGTGCAAACAGTATTCAAATGACAATATCTCATTTTCTTTATACTTTCCTCCCATCTTTCTGGTAGAATTCGGAAGTAATGTAAGGAACCGCTGAATATCTGGAAGTTTTTATTGTTCAGAGTGAAATCCGATCCTACGGCTTGCAATCCAGAGGAAACCACATCACCAACATAATACTTGTACAATGAAATTTCACTATAGTTGTCATCTTGGCTCTTCACATTGTCTTTATCCATAATGCAGAGCTAGCTGTACTAAAAGAATGACAAACAATCCACTTATAATAAATACACCAACTATCAAAATTACACCAGAAGTTTGCATTATGCAATATGCAGAATTAAAAAAAAAACAATACTTTTAAAGCAAAATATCCGAAATTCTGTTTCTTCAAAGCAGACCTGTAAGATATTTATTTATGCATATTTTAAGGGGGGGAAAGAGGGGCATCGTTTTCTGACAAAGTTGTCCAGACTACTAAAATCAGATATAAAAAATAAATCTTACAGAAAACTTTATGAACAAACGGAAAACTTATTGCCAGATTATAAACTGAAGAAACGATAATTTCGGAACATTAATAATTTTTTATTTTTATAAAAATGTTGTCTTAAAAGAAATTTCTTTCTATCTAAATCATTTTTATTTTCTGTATGTTTATTATATTTATTGGAATGAATATTTCCATTTTGCTATTTCCAAACATTAAGCTCCCTGAAAGAAGCAGATATTCACTGTAATCTTTATAATTTTCCTCAAATTACTGGCATATTTATGCTCTATGGTATCATTTTCGAATTATACTTATCTTCATTAAAATATATTTGACAATTAATGATCTGATGTTTCCTACAAAATTATTTTGCCGTAATTAAGGTAACTGTATATGAAATTAAAAAAAAAAAAAAAATTGATCTCCATAAGAAAATATGTCGTATCTTTATAAAATGCTCACATCATCAAATATATATATATATATATATATATAAAGTCATCCATGAAGAAGAAATACTTATTAGGTAGTTCGGTTAATCTTCTGTTAAGGCAACTTCAAATTTGGCAACTTTTGGAGAAACATGTATTTGATGACAATCATAAACATAATAATTATAGAATATGGTAGCTTGCTTCAATACTGAATGAGGAAACTCGTCCCTAATAATATCCAAACGAGCTAAATTCAACTTGCATTAGCAATTGAAGATTCATCGAAATTTCATTTATTGAAATGATTTATTAAATTTATACGATTATCAATAAGTGACACAAAAGAAGAATTAAACAGAAATTTTAAAATAGTATGATAATTCAGCTACAAAACTGCAGTCCATTATAATTCTCACTTGTAACCAAATGCATTTATTCTAGTTTTAGCAATGTATTTAGTTAAAACTGGAATCTGCTTGTTTGAGACTTGCCTTTGTTGTACAGTTCACCGCCCATCCCTCGATAAAACTTTTTAAAGACAGAAACTCTGGGGTTCAGATCCTGGCGAAAGGGCGGTTTCGTGGATTTCCCCATGTGTAACGTGTATATGAGCTAGTTTTCCCTTAGAAAGTCCTCCACGAAGACATCTCTCCCCTTAGAAAAATAGCCCTCGAGTGCTTTGACATAAAAATATAAACAAAAGACAGAAATTTCACATCATCATCTATTAAACATACTGTAACTCCTTTAAATCAAATATGCTCATGAATAATGTTTTAAAAGTAGACTTCATTTAAGGTGATCTAGTGCAACAGGTTTTCTGTTATATTACATTGTATTTGAACATTACAATACTAAAATATTACACGTATTTCAGTGCATTAATTAAAGAATTATACGTAGCGTATTCGGAAACTAAGTACTGTTTCATTCTAGCGCCGTCGCAGCGCTGTGATAGGCATCCCGCGCATGCGCACTAGTCTTTCTTGTTCACTGACTTTCAATTGTCGCCATTTTGGTTGTTCTATGTTGTGTTTTCAGTTTGCTGTGCACATTCAAAATGTTTAAGACAATTAGTTCTCCCGCTGACTGTGAGATTCGTGCCGTGATTAAATTTTTGAACGCGAGGAATGTTAAACCGGCCGAAATTTATCGTCAAGTGACAGAAGTTTACGGTGAATACGCGATAAGTGATGGAATGGTGAGAAAGTGGGTAAGAATGTTTAATGCAGGTCGAACAAATGTCCACGCCGAGGCTCGGAGTGGTCGGCCTTCTGTTGTCACCGATGATTTGGTAAGGAAAGTTGATGAAGCAATTCATGAGAACAGACGCTTCACAATGACAACTCTTTCAGAGGCATTTCCACAAATTTCACGTACTGTTTTGTTCGAAATTGTGTCTGACCGCTTGAATTATCGCAAACTGTGTTCCCGATGGGTTCCAAAAATGCTCACTGATGTTCACAAAACAAAGCGACTTGGTAGTGCCCTGACATTTCTCACGCGGTACAGTGATGAGGGAGAAAAACTTTTTAAACCAAATTGTGACAGGTGATGAAACTTGGGTGTGTCATTTCACACCAGAATCGAAACAACAATCGATGGAGTGGAGACACACTCATTCTCCGAAAAAACAAAAGTTCAAAGTGACAATGTCATCACAAAAAATCATGTGCACTGTCTTCTGGGATAGGAAAGGCGTTTTGCTTACTGAATTTCTTCCCAGAGGTGAAACCATTAATGCGGCACGATATTGTGAGACTTTAACAAAACTAAGGCGTGCCATTCAAAACAAACGAAGAGGAATGCTCAGTAAAGGAATTGTGTTGCTCCATGACAATGCTCGGCCCCATACTGCTGGTGTCACTCAATCGTTAATTCGACAGTTTCATTGGGAGCAGTTCGATCACCCGCCGTACAGCCCGGACTTGGCGCCGTCCGACTATCACTTGTTCCTGCACATGAAGCGCGAGCTTGGTGGCAAGCGCTTTGAATCTGACACGAAAAATGCTGTGGAGTCGTGGTTATCGAAACTGGCGGGAAGTTTCTTTGACGATGGTATACAAAAACTGGTCACCCGCTATGACAAGTGTTTGATCATTGGTGCAAACTATGTTGAAAAATAGTTTAAGATATGTATTTTCATGTAAAAATAAAATTGGATTCGAAAAAATTGTTTTACTATTTTTTTTTTTTTTTTTCCAACACTTAGAATAAGCTAAGACAGAATATAAGTAAAAGGGTTTTTTATGAAAAGTTATATGTCAAATTTGGAATAAAATTTACCTAAATAACATATTTTTTAATCAATTTGAGAAGCTACCAATAGATGGTGCTACAAGTTAAAATTGTTCTACTTTTGTAAAAATACAGAAAATAATTAATTTTGAGACCAGTTACAAATTATTTTCATTTACAAACAGCAATAAAATACATTAAGAAGCTTTTGATATATTTCTTTACATTCTTAACAGTCTGAAGTTTGTAAAAACAGCTGTGTCAGTCAGTGGAAAGAATGTTTGTGGCAACCCTAATTCATCGCCGCTGCAAAGCTGTTTGTGTACATTAGTACAATCTGTCTATAACAACAAAAAAAAAAAAAAAAAAAAAAAAAAAAAAAAAAAAAAAAAAACCTCTCGCCAGTTAGTCTGTTGCCGTAGAAATGAGCCTTGGCCCATTTTCCGTAGTGGTGTCTTGAAGACGAATGATAGCTTTTTCCCCCCATCCAACAGTCTTCAAAAAGAAAATAACAATAAAGCAACACTTGGCTCGCCCCTATTGAAATATACTAGTCCTGTTGCTATAGCGACCGCCACCCACCAGACACTGTGGTGGAAGCTATTCTTCTCATAGATAGACAGTACACATTTTTATCAACAGTTCTTTGATTGTTATTTACCACTGAAGACAACTACCGTATTTACACGAATGTAATGCGCATCGTTTTTGGCCAAATGTAATATTCAAAACTGGGGTGCGCATTAGATTCGAGTGCAAAGTTCGCCGATGACGTCAACCAAATTTAAATCGTAACAATGGATTACTGTATTTGTCGACTAGATTTACCGTTACATTTATCGTTGACACATTATTGCATAGAGGATGCAAATTGCAGAGTACGTAGTCACGAAAGGGAGGGCAAACAGAGGAGAATGTCATATGACGCTACTTTCAAACGTAAAGTAATTCTTTATGCTGAAAAAAATGGCAATAGAAAGGCAGGGGAGAGTTCAACGTAGCTGAGAGCAGTGTTCGCTTGTGGCGGCAACAGAAATTGGCACTGTTTGCAACTAAAGCTAGTAGAAAGAAATTCACTGGCTCTCGCAAAAGAAGACACCCTAAAATTGAAGAAAAAGTTTTGGAATTTGTACGTGAAAGGAAGAAAAATGAATAACCTGTGACTAGTGACACCATAAGAAATAAAGCAAAAGAGGAGGCTGAAGTTCTTGGAATACTGAAACATGAGTTTAAGGCTAGCCGTGGATGGGTGGATCGGTTTATGAAGCGGATGGGCTTACCTCTAAGACGCCGTACAACAATATGCCAAAAGCTTCCTGCAGATTTTGAGGGAAAACTATTAACATTTCAGCGGTATGTCATCACACTTCGGAAGGAAAAGAATTTTTCAATGGGGCAAATTGGCAATGCTGATGAGACACCAATTTGGTTTGATATGCCTCATAACTACAACCATTATGGAGGAAGGGGACTAAGGAAGTTATCATTATTAAACTTGGGGATGTGTAAAAACTACGCGTAACAGTGATGCTGGCAATAACAGCAGATGGGTGCAAACTTCCCCCTTTCTTAATCTTCAAACAAAAAACAAAGCTTAAAATCCCTAAGAATGAAAAGCTGTTCCCAGATGATGTCCTGATTCGGAACCAAGAGAAGGGGTGGATAACGAAATCATTAATGCTTGATTGGCTCCGAAATGTATGGGAACGCCGTCCCAGTGGGCTCTTCAATCCACCATCAATGCTTTGTCTGGACGCATTTCGTGGTTATCTCCCTGACGACGTAAAAAAGAACACGCGCAGTCTAGGCAGTGATATTGTAATCATTCCTGGAGAGATGACGTCTGTGTTACAACCACTGGACGTTAGTATAAATAAACCTTTTAAGAGGTACGTTCAGGCGGAGTACGAAAAATGGTTTTGTGAGCCAAACCGTGAATTGACCCCAATAGGAAAAATTAAGCGTACTGCACCGCACATTGTTGCACACTGGGTTTCTGCTGCCTGGAAAAGCATCGAAGATATAATGATTGCGAAATCTTTCAAGAAATGCTGCATTTCAAATTCATTGAATGGCAGTGAAGTTGACG